TAGCTATGGCTTAGAAATAGGATCAGTTCTCAAAACCCTGGAATGGCTTAAATGCCCATTCAGCTAATAAAATGAGAGAGAAATCAGTTAAACCTCTAGACCAAAGATTTTATATTCACTCCAGACTCCATAAAGTCCCAGAAGCTGACCTTTCCCACTTATGTAGACATTTTAATTTACTTTTCACTTAAGTCAATTATGGTTCTTCCAGAAAGTACCACAACTTATTATATCTCCCAACCAGGGATTCCTGTGTAGAATGACATATATTTAAAAAATAGGTAAAATCTCTTGAAGCTAGATGGATATCATTTGGATGAACATGAGGCAGCTCAAAAGTACAAGTTAATCCTTCTATAATATGATGGTAACCAGAGAAGTAAATCCTCTTCCCTGGTTCAAATTCTTATTTGGCTGGCGGATGTCCTGAGCTAGAGCTCTTAGCTAAAAAACACCCATTAGTAACTTCAAGGACATTAATGACTTTGGAGACAGCCCATCAACCACATGGAACTTGAAGATGGGTAGATTCTGCCACTGCAGGGGGTATAAAGTCCTTTAAACTCTCACATGCAGCCTCAGGTTATACAGCATTCATTCAAGAGGGATATTTGTTTTCTCCCACAAAAGAGTATAAAATGAAAATTTTCTCTGTTTCGGTCATGGCTCTGTAGGTGAAAATAGACATTTTATAGTAATTGGTGAATCCAATTATAGTAACTGGTCATTTTTTTATTTTAAAGTCTTCATTTACAAAGTCCATAAGAGTTTATTTTCTTGCTTAGAGGTTATTATGCTAAGCAACAAATCTGGGTTTATATACTTGTTTTCAAGTGATGTTTAAATTACATGTCTTCACTTGAGTTAGGTTTAAGGTCTCCCATCTTTAAAGATTTCTCCTGAGATCAATACTTTCAACCTCTTCTCCAATGAGCTACTGTTGCTCTGTAGGTCTCATACCATCTGAAGGAAAGTAGTGACTAACAGGTGACAAGATTGCTTTAGATGTAGCCTCTGTTTTTGTGGGTCGACTTCTTATAGTCTTTATTTGCCAGCTGACCTGAATGTACTTTAGCCCTTGTTTGGAACAAACACTTTTGCATTAGCTAATACCACTCTAACAATAATAACCATCCCCCTATTTAGTAATAATAACAAACATTACTAAACATTTACTATATTCTAGGCACTGTTCTAAGAGCTTTACCCATATTTTTGCATTCAATCTTCACTACATTCCTGTGATACAAATAGTCTTATTATCTATTTATAAGTTAAGAAACTGGAAAAAAAAACAAGAGATTTAGCGCTTTGCCTTGGCAGCTGGCTAGTATTAAAGAGAATTTGGATTTATGTGGTCTGACTTCAGAGCCTCAACATTTACTCCCTATCCTATACCCATAGCTCCACACAGATAATCAAAAGTATGGGAGAAAATAAGGCATGGTTGTCCCTTCTCTTTTCATTCAGTCCTCCCTGCCCGCTTCCATCTAGGTCAGATTCCTGCAAGTACCTTGCCGCCTCCTCTACCTTTGCTGGTGCTGGTCTCCTATGCTGAGTGCCATCTCTATCCCAATTTGACTGTATTCTTCAAGTACAGATTAATCTTTCCTTCCACCTGCCCCCTTCCAGCCTTGTACAGCTACTCTAGCTTACTTCTGTCTCTTCTTTCTTTGACCTTATTTAACTAATCAGACGCTACTTGTGACATTATTAGCTCCTTGAGGGTAGGGTTTCCTACATGCTACTTCCTTTATGTTCTCTAGATTAGGTAGAGTAGCCAAGCTGGTAATATGAGGCACCCTCAAATCCACTTAAAGCACCCAGAAGTTCACTTTCTGTTTGGCTGCCCCACCGTTATTCTTTCCTACCTCTTCCTTATTCATTTCCTCCTCCCTTAATATTATAAAAGTAATATATGCTCATTTTATGTCCTCATTATTTCTGATGAAAGGTTAGCCATCATTTTTATCATTCCCCTGTACATAATGTCCTCTCCCCAGTCTGGCTGTTTTTTAAATTTTTCTCTCTTTGTCTTTGGTTTTCAGGAGTTTGACTATAATGTGCTGAAATGTGGTTTTCCTTGTATTTATCTTGTTTACGATTGCAGAATTTCTTGGACATGTAGGTCAATTTTGTTTGTTTTATGGTTCTTATAACCAAATGTGGGGAGTTTGGGGTTATTATTTCTTCAAATATTTTTTCCACCCCATTCTTTCTCTCCTCTCTTTCTGAGAGGTTGTGAGTTTTTTCTTCATTATATTAACAGGAGCAAACTAACCCATAACAAAAAAGGTTAGTCAAATACAAATCAATGTAAGAAGCACTTATTTCAAAATACCCATAGCTTACAGTTGATAGAGTATGCAATGGTCTTGAATGTTTGTGCTCCTCTAAAATTCATATGTTGAAACTTAATGCCTAGTGTGATGCTACTACTCACTTTTGGGAGGTGAATTGGTTATGAAAGTGGAGCCCCCATAAATTGCATTAGTGCCCTGAAAAAAGAGGCCAAAGGGAGAGGGCCCCTTCCACCATGTAAGGTTATTATGAAAAGACCAGCATATATGAACCAGAAAGCACAGTCACCAAATCTGCCAATGCCTTGATTTTGGACTTCCCAGCCTCCGGAACTGTGAGAAATAAATATTTGTTGTTTATAAACCAGCCAGCCTATGATATTTTGTTATAGCCATCCAAAGAAAACAAAGACAGAGGGCAATTATTTTAAAGTTATAATACTGTATTTTGAATTTTACTTCTTCAGGCCACCTTTTCTTCCTAGAACAACTCATTCATTAATGTATGCAAATATTCATTACTGGGCCTCAGCTATTTGGCTTGCACTAAGGTAGGTACTAGAAAAACAAAAAGGAAATGAACAAGAAAAACACTTTTGTCCTCATAAAATTCAGTCTTGTAGGGGGAACACACAGGTAAAGAAGCATGACTAGTAGGGGAGAAAAGAAAAAGTCTAACAAGCTGAGAGTCCTGTAGAGACAAGCCAGCATACGGTGTATGTAGAGATGAATGAAAGGTTCAGCATAGAGCTTGTAGGATGAGGGACTGAAGATAAAGTTGATCTACAGGGAAGGGTTAAGTGTAAAATCCTTGACTGATAAGCTTTGTAATTTTGTGTAGCCTATAGGCAATAGCTATAAGTAATCTAAACTTTTGCAGCATTTGCCATATTTTAAAGTTGTTGGGTTGACATAATCAGATTTCCTTTGTTAGGAAAATTAATTCTAGTTTAGAGGACTAACTAAAGTAGAAAGAAATCCATGAAAGAGAAAACATTTCCACCATCACAGAACTTTCTATTAGCCAATGCTGTTTTAGAGGTTTTAAATATTTGAATTGAGTAATTAAGAAAATGACATGTCATTTCGTATCCATGAGGTTGGAAGGAAAAGTAGAAAAGTTTGATAACACCAGGTATTGCTGAGAATGTAGGAAGTCTGTGTCTGACACAGTTAATAGAGCAGATAGTTATAATCATTTTGAAGAACAATTTGGCAATATCTAATAAAGATGAAGATATGTAACCCTACAGCCCAACCATTTAATTTCTAGGGACAAAAGTTAGAGAAACACTCTCATGAGTAAACATGAAAATACTACAAGGGCATTATTATATTATTTCTATTTAATAGAAAAAAGACCCTCTAAATGTCTATGTGTGAGGATAAAAAAATTCTGCAATAGCTATTTAAGGGAATACTACACAGCAGTTAAAATATCTACATGTGTGAAATGGGTATATATCAAAAATTTATTGTTGAATAAACAATGTCTATATTGTTAACAATATACGGGAGGATCTATTATGTTCATTAATGCTCTGTCACAGAGTTTCTCTGCACTTAAGATTAAGTATGCTTCCATATTGTCAACAATTGCTCTAAAAAGCTAATCTGGTTATGTTAACCCTTGCCCTTCCTTAAATGGGATAAAAGTTCTCTAACTAAAAATGTTGCCATTTTCTACAATTGAACAATCTGCATCCAGTTTAGCCCTGTGTTCACAGCTCAGCACTTACATGTAGAGTTTGAAGGTGGGTCAGAAAAGTCATAAAGACAATTCAAAGTGAGAGAATGTTACATATTAAGGGAAGTTGGCATTGTTAGTCTGGAAAACAATATAAACCTGAGGTATTTAATGATGGTTTTAGGGCTTCTGTGTTCTCCCTTTGATGTGTAGGGTCTGTCTGGTTTAGCTTTAAAGATCTAAATCTAACTTTCTTTCAAAGGGTGTGAAATTATTTGGGGGGATTCCCTCCTCCCTCCTCTTTCATTTTTTATCTTCTCAGAAAATTTTATACAATATTTTAAGTGCATCTGATCAAGTGTTTGCACAGCTTCATTAAAAAAGCTAGGTCAGTTGAATTCACCATAACTGAATGCGGTAGTTATTAGTCTGCACTAGGTTCTAGAGCCATTCTGCTGAGTATGACACCCCTATACTAAAAAAAATCTTAGCCTGGGATCTGGAAACAGGCCTGGAATGCAATGTGAAAGCACTCAGGGTTATGTGGGCACCTATCTTATCAAGACAAAGATAGCTAGATTAATTCTGAACTGATTTTCACCTTGGCCTCCCTGATTTTAAGGTTGGATGTAGACTCTCAGAAACTCTCAGCATCAGGAGGTAACAAAAAACTCACTAACAAACATAAATCTGGACATCATCTTAAGCATACCTGTCGTAGAAATTACTATCTCCTAATTTCTCATGTAAATCACAGTGATTTTATTTATTTTTTTAACAGCGTCTAGATTTCACAAATCACTCTTTCGAGCATCTCTTTCTGGAAAATAAAGGTACTCGGTGTTTTAAAAAAAAAAAACCAAACACCTCATAGTCCTGTTGAACATAGGTATACTAGTTATTATACCCCTGCAAGATCAATGCCAAAATAGACTATTTGAGCTACTTTAAGTATTCTATGCAAAGTAGCCTTTATAAAGTTGTGGAGAATAATAGTTGTAAAGGAATCTTACTCTTTATGGCGACCACCCAGGTGGTGCCAGAAGTTGAAAGTAGCCCTCCTCCTCCAGCCCCGCCATCAGTGTAGCTCAGAACGGATTGGCTTTTCGGGACCGCTGAGAGGAATGGCAAAGCCGGCCCAGTCTTCCAGGCAGAAGTACCAGTTCCGATCCGAGGATTAGAGCCTGTCATTAAGGGGTGTCCAAAAGGGAGGGAGAAAAGAAGGAAGGAAATATGGTTTAAGCTTCAGGGAAGACTCATTTTCTCTAGGAGAGGAAGGCAGGCACCAGGAGTCCGCATTCATCGCCAAGGTTTCACTAGCGGTGAAAACGAGGACCCCTCGGCCGACCCGCGCCTGCGAGGCCAATGGCGGGTCAGCCTGGGCGCCCGGGGCTTCGTCCCGGGTGGGCCCGTGGTCCGCTCCCGGACCTGCCGCGGCGCGTGGACACTGCCGAGCTTGGCTCCCGGAGCCCGCTCAGCCACGCGAGAGACCTGCGGGACGCACACTGTCCCTGGCCCCGGCAACCCCGCCGGGCGCTCTCCCCGCCGGCTGCCCCAGGCCTGCAGGTCTGCTTCCGGGCCAGAGGAGACCCCGGGAGGCGGGCCTCCAACAGCCAAGTCTCCTTTGAAGTCTGGGCAGGGCAACTGGAGGAGAGGTGGAGGACCGTGGAGGGACAGGGAGGAAGGGGTTCTGCCTGCTTCCCGCAATCTGCCGGCGCGAGGGGCCTACGTAGGGCGCGGGCTGATGCCTAAGGTAGAATGCGAAACGAGTGTGCACACGTTAGAGATGGACAAATGCAGTGCGTGTGAGAGGCCTGAGGGTGTGTAATAAGAAACTAGGGTGAATGTGTGAAAGGAGGCAGGGATGAGTGAGTGTGTGAGGAAGCAGGGGTGCGTGAGTGAGTGTTTGTGTGAGGGAGAGAGGGGGTTGGGGTGTGCGCATGCTGCAGTTAGGTGTGTGGAAGAGTGTTCTGTGAAAGATCCCTGGGTGCGCTGGAACGTGCGGTGAGGCGCTCAGGACCCCGCGCCCCGGGTGTGGAGAGGTCGGGACTGGGGCCGGGGCCCGAGCCGGGACCGGGGCGGGTGGACACCTGTCTGGGGAACCCGGCCAAAACCCAGCGAGACGGAAGCTAAGAAGCCGCAAGTACCATGTCACTAGGCACCTTCGCTAGTTGAGTGCCTGCCCAGGCGGCCTCCGGCAGGTCGGTAGAAGGAGACTCCGGGCACAAATGAGGTTCTGTTTAACCTTGGAGCGCAGCGAGAGCTATTAACTTGTCACTGACATCCGCCTGTTCTTAAAAGAAAAAGTTCGGCGAGACGCGGGACCCCCAAGAAGGGAGCACTTGAAGTTAAATTTACGGACCCTCCGCCCCGCCCAGCCCCAGCCAGGCCCCCTGGCCCCGCCCCCAGGCTGCAGGGCGTAGGCCCGCGAGCCAATGGGAAGCCCGCAAGCTCTAGGCCGGCTGCAAATCACTGCAGGAAGTGTTAGGCGCACCAAAGCCGCAGACAAGATTGATTGCTTTTCTCCTCGGGGCAAACCCGCTGGGGAACCGGAGTGGACCCCGGCCGGGTTCTTCTACCTCTGCCCTCGGGCCAAGAGAAAGTTAAGGCTGATGGCCCCGGGGCCCGAGAAGTTGGCTACTTACTGCTCTCTTCTTCCAGCCTTGCCGACATGGATAATAACTCTCCCAGTTTGAGGCCCAGAGGCTCATTAACTAGGGAGTACACAATAAAGGCTCTCCTGGAGAGGAAGGCAGTCTTCTCCCCCAAATCCCAAATTATTTCCGATGGGGTCATCGCATAAATCTGCAGGTCACATCTGTTCAAAGGGGCCTATTAAAATATTTGCCGACCCAGGGGGAGTGAGAGTTACATCTGAGTGTGTGTGTGTGTAATGTTGAAGGGGGCACCCCACCTCACCCACCAAAATGTACACAATGGCAAGAGGTGAAGGGGTGTTAAAACCCAGTTCTCCCTCGGTCTTATGTTTGAATGCTCTCCGCGTTCAAGGTAGAACCTTGGGCTGCAAGGGAGTTTGAAATTCCTAAGGTTTAGTGGTTAAGAACAGCTTTGAACAGGATTAAGAACAGGAAATGATGCACACAAATTTTGAGGACAAAAAAAAAAAAAGATGGAGCCATTGAAGGGAAGGAGATAAAACTGATAAGAGAGGACATTTACAGAAATGTGATCTTCATTGCTCAGGGCCAATAGGCATTCCTAGGGACCTCTACTCTATTGCTCAGTCACAGCTCAAATCTATGTCCCTGGGGAGCTGCAGGTAACAGTGTGTGGTTTGTTGCATCATACTGAGAGAGCCCAATAAAGTACCACTGGCAAAAAGTTTGTGGTGGTGGAAAGGTCCCTTCTTTTAGGTCTTTCTTTTTTAATTCTAATTTGAACTAAAGATTGTTCAAATTTCCTCTTCTCTGCCATCCATCTATCTCTAAGTGAAATGGGACCACTGACTACACAACAGAAATTATTTTTCTCCTTTTGATTGGGAGCAGTATGTACTTCTATTTTATTTTACAGGTAACTTAAAGCTGATTTCCTTTCTCTGCTCCTAAATGCAGTTGCTCATCTTGGTGTTTGTTTCAAAACGTCTTTATTTAACAAAAAGTGATTGATTTGCAGCAACAGTCATACCTTAACAAAGTTGTCAAATGCAGTGTATTGTAGCAAAGGGGCATTAAAATTAAAAGGGAGCCATGTCTGAAATCTTTATGAAATGATAGTTCTTGCATATTTGAACTTAAACTGCATGCTTATGTCTTTACTTGTTCAGAACCCTTCTACTTTTGTTTTCCATTTGGCAAATTTAGAGACAGATGACATGGGGAAGGGAAAGTTGTTATTTTCTTTTATTCAACAGACAATTGGATCAATAGCAAATATCCCTATAGCTTTTATGGGGCATAAGACTTGCAACAAAAATATAACAATGTGAAGCAAAATTATAGTCAAAGGGTATCCAGGAAAATTCTACGGGAGTGTCATAATATATCTTTACCCTAACCAGTTGTCTCAAGAATTCATATTGTTAGTTAAATATATCCAATCCTGGTTGTCATCCTGTCCTCTTTTCCTCAGCCCCAGGGCTGAAATTTCCCAGGGTTTTATTTTCTCTCTTTCTTTTGTCTCTGGGTGATCTTATATAACCTATGGATTTTAATTCCATCTATGTGTTGATGGTTCCAAATGTTCTATCCCCAGAGAAGATAATCTCCCCTGACCTCAGTCTTACACTTTTATATACCTGACAGCTCCTCAGACATCTCAAAGGGGACAGGTACACAAAAGAACTCCTAAACTCACATCTCCCAAAATTTATTTCCAGTCTTCTCATCCAAACAAATTCTGTAATTCCACTAAGCACCTAATCGATCAAGGCAGAAACCTAGGCATCATTATTTTATTCTTTCTTCTTTATTCCCCACACCCAATCCATCACCAAATCTTAATCATTCTAAATGTATCTAAATATATCTCTCAATTCTATCTTCTCTGTCCTACCCTAATCTAAGCCACATCTTTCACCAAGATTGCTGCTACAGCTTTTTTTTACTGGTTTCTCCTGGTTTCTATTATTCCCTCTGGTCTTTTTCTTCCATGCCTCTATCCCAGCCACTCCCCCTTGCCACACAAATATACAAGATGATTTTTTAAAACCATAAGTTGAATCCTGTCACTGCCATTCTTAAAAATGCTCAGACTTGTTTGTGCCAATGCCTACCAGACCTGTATGACCCAGTCTATTCTTACTTCTCCAAGTTCATCTTGGGTACTTTCTTCATGCCTTCTGTGGCTTTTCAGGTCTTGAAATAGGCTCTTCCCCACACTGTGTGTGGATAACTTTGTCTTATCCTTCAGGTTTGAGGAAAAGTATAACCTCAGGAAGGCCTTTTCCTAGGACATTCTAGACTTCTCTTAGCACTGTATTTGTTTCCTTGTATCATGTTTGATGTTGTAATTATGTTATTTTGTTGTTTATTTGCTTTTTGTCTCTCCACTTGTAAGATCCAGATGGTCAGGGACTATGTCTGTTTTATATAGCAGGATTTCACACAGTATTTGGCTCTCGATAGAAATCAGTGAATAAATGAATGAATGAGTGAATAACCAGACTCTGAAGCTGATCTCAAAAAAGTGCTAATGTCCCATGTCTCTGGGCCACATCTTCCTCCTGAGGTGCACACACACACACACACACACACACACACACACGCACAAGGATTTCTACTGGAATTTCCACCGGCACACCAGACTCAATTAGTCAAAAATTATTTCATGGTGTGCTGCCCTTCCTGTATTCTCTCTTTCCATCAGTGACATGCCTATGTATTTTCCCAATCCAGAAACACTGCAATCACACAAAATTCCTTCCCATTTCTCACGCCTCAGATCCAGCTGGCCATCAAGCCTGTAAAAATGGCAAGCTCCATGTCCTCCTCTCCTTTCCACTTCATCTTCATTTGGTCAGAGTCTCCCAGTTCCCCACCAATTTTACCACACTAAGCGCCTACAACTGTATTCTGGGCAAATTTATCTTCTCACTGGTCCTCAAACACGCCAGGCATACCTCTCCCTTAGGACAGCAGCTTGTTCTTTCATTCTGGAGTCCTGTGCCCCAGCTATCTGAACAACTCACTCCTTCCCTCTTTCAGTTCTTGACTAGAATATCTCTTTTTCAGAGATGACTTTCTTAATCAGCCTACATAAAATAGCAGTCAACCACTTCACTTTCTCCTCATTATTTTTTTCGTAGCACTTGCATTATGTATTTATGTGCTCTTTTGTTTATTATCTTTTCCCCAGTAAAATATAAACTCCACAAAGGCAGGGATTTTTGTTTGTTGACTCCTTGCTGAATCCTCGGTGTCTCCGTGTGTGGACAGAGTAGGCACTCAGTGAATGTTTATTGAATGAACAGTTTCCTAACTTGTCTCTCTGACCTCTGTCGCCCTCCTTTCAAAAACTCAAATCTGCTTTTCGCCTTTCAGGGGCACTCTTAATCGACACAAGGCAGTCCAATCTGTTCCTAGAGTGACGGTCCCAGTTGAGCTCCCTCCTACCTGCCAGCATCATCTACCCACCCATGTTGGGTGTCCCAGAAGACCTCTCAGTGAAACCACATGAGAGGCCCCAGGAGAGACAGCCCCATACTCCTGACCCACAAAACTGTGAGCAAAGTAAAATGGCTATGTTAAGCTGTTAGGTTTAGGGAATATTTGTTCACAACAGATGACTGAAACACTCCCTGAACTGACTTTTGCCTGTTCTGATTGAAGTGTGCCAGTCTATACCAAATTATTTACTTTAAACAACCATCTGGTAGGAGCCTGTCTGTTTACACTCATAATGATCTGTTAGCATCCCTCTGTACCTCACAAATTACAAACCCAGGAATATTTCTGCATAATTCCTTTAAGACTTTTTCCAGCTTTTTGCATTCCAGATGTTCTTGGACTGACAATTATACCTAAGGAGCAAGTAGGTTACAAATGTAGCTACTGTCTCCTTACGTTCACAGGCACATTTCCCCTTGCTCTGGGGAGAAGCCTGTGCAGAAGAGTGGAAAGTGGTTTGCAGGTTGCACCGACTCTCCATTTTGTAGATGGGACCTGGTTGAGTCACACTGCATGATTTCACCATAGATTATTCGTTAATGTTCTTTTACAGTAAAAATTATCCTTGAAGACATTATGCTAAATGAAATAAGTCTGCCACAAAAGGACAGATACTGTGTGATTCTACTTCATAGAGAGTAGTCAAATTCATGGAGGCAGAAACTGGAGTAGTTAGTGGTTGCCTGGGGTTAGGGAAGCGGGGAACAGGATGTTAGTGTTTAATGAGACAATTTCAGTTGGGGAAGATGAAACGCTTCTGGAGGTGAATGATGGTGATGGTTGCACAACAATGTGAATGTACCTAATGCCACTAAACTGTATACTTAAAAATGATTAAGTGGTAAATTGTATGCTATATACATTTTACCACAATAAAAATAATTCAAAACCATTTTGTATTGTAACACACCCTGTACGACTCAAGACAAGCAGGAACAGTGTCCTGACAGTGAGATTAAAAATTCTTTTAGGGGTATAAAATAGGATGATCAGCCCTCTCTTTTAGAAGTCCCCTGCCATAGTAAGTTGGAAGATAAATATCCTTTTATGGTCTAATGACATATTTTGTTATCATAAACCAAAAGTGCCCCCCCCCAAAGTGGTGGCAGTATCTAATAACTTTCTAAAGTAACAGTCTAACCAACCAAAATAAAATTAAAGTCATGGTTTATAGAAGCTATTCTTAACTCATTTATTTTGAATTAACTCATCCTGAAGTCCCATC